CTCACGCGGACGAAATACAAAGAAAAGAGCTAATATAATAAAACCTTTAACAAAATATCTCAGTTCATACTCAAAATCTACTCAACTTTAATTTAATCCCACCATCCTTAATGATATAGCCATACTTGTGAACCGGAGCTAAGTACGAAGAGGTCGAAGTGAAGCCGAAGAAGAGCGATCTGAGGAGGTCTAAACGAGACTTGAAGGTCTCTGTGACTGAGTATGAGAAGCTCCACACGACTAAGTGTGGGAAGTAGACATGCTCTCAGTGACTGAGTATGAGAAGCTCCACACGACTAAGTGTGGGAAGTAGACATGCTCTCTGTGACTGAGTATGAGAAGCTACACACGACTAAGTGTGGGAAGTAGACATTCTCTATGTGACTGAGTATGAGAAGCTCCCCACGACTAAGTATGGGAAGTAGACATGCTCTCTGTGACTGAGTATGAGAAGCTCCACACGACTAAGTATGAGAAGTAGACATGCTCTCTGTGACTGAGTATGAGAAGCTCCACACGACTAAGCATAGGAAGTAGACATTCTCTCTGTGACTGAGTATGAGAAGGTTCAGTTGCTCTAAAAAGATAAGTAGAGATTATCTCGACCTGCTAGACTTGCCAGAGGTCATCTCGACCTGCTAGACCTGCTAGAGGTCATCTCGACCTGCTAGACTTGCTAGAGGTCATCTCGACCTGCTAGACCTGCTAGAGATCATCTCGATATGCTAGACCTGCCAGAGGTCATCTCGACCTGCTAGACTTGCCAGAGGTCATCTCGACCTGCCAGAGGTCATCTCGACATGCTAGACTTACCAGAGGTCATCTCGACCTACTAGACCTGCTAGAGGTCATCTCGACCTGCTAGACTTGCTAGAGATCATCTCGATATGCTAGACCTGCCAGAGGTCATCTCGACCTGCTAGACCTGCCAGAGGTCATCTCGACCTACTAGACCTACCAGAGGTCATCTCGATCTGCTAGACCTGCCAGAGGTCATCTCGACATGCTAGACTTACCAGAGGTCATCTCGACCTACTAGACCTGCTAGAGGTCATCTCGACCTGCTAGACTTGCTAGAGATCATCTCGATATGCTAGACCTGCCAGAGGTCATCTCGACCTGCTAGACCTGCCAGAGGTCATCTCGACCTGCTAGACCTGCCAGAGGTCATCGTGACATGCTAGACTTGCTAGAGGTCATCTCGACCTGCTAGACTTGCTAGAGGTCGACCTGCTAAGCCTGCTAAAGGTTTCCGTGACTAGAGTTCTCTGCTACTAGACCTCTCCGCTACTAGACGTCTTCTCTACTAGACGTCTCCGTGACTAGATGTCTCCGCTACTAGACGTCTCGGTGACTAGAGGTCTCTGCTACTAGACCTCTCCGCTACTGGACTTCTCTGTGACTACAAGAGCATGATCTAGAAGCAGTAATTGGACAATAAAGAATCTTGAGCTGACTAGGAGGTAGATGGAATGCGAACCGACCAGGGCATTTTGGGTACTTCAAGCAGGCATTTTCCTCTATATAAAGAGGGTGAGGTAACCCTAAACCCTAACTTCTACTCATTCTATACACTTTCCATCTCTCTGTTGATGCTGCTCTCTGAGAGCAGATCTCTCTTCCCCACATTCTATGCATTTCTACATGCATTACAGCTCTACATTACAGAGCTTCATCTTCCTCTCCTTTGTTTACTGACTTGAGCGTCGGAGGCATGACGCCGGGACCTCTCCCGGCGTTGGGTTCTTGCAGGTGTTTGCGGCGGTCTAGCAACGATTTGAAGGCGGTTCAAACAGATTAGAGCTTACAACAACCGGTTTTCTCCATATCTAGAAGTAGATCCATCACTCAATATTATCAATATAATTAAATAGTATCAACCAATCATTCTTACACATCACATCAACTTTAATTTACTATTCATCCACTCACATAATTTTAACTAATTATCACTTCATATCATCTCTCTTCAACTTTTACATCAAATCAACTTTAATTATTTTATTTTAAATATTATTTTAAGATAAAATCAAAATCCCACTAAAACTCATTTTGAGCGGTTATTTTTTTTAAATTAATCATACAATTTTTTTTAAAAAAATTAACTTTGGTTAATAAAAAAAAAACTCATTTTGAGCAGATATTTTTGTATACAAGCACGCCCTTAAAGAGTGTTAATTTTCGATCCAACTGTTCGAGAAGACGACTTGCAAGATAACAAATTCCCTTTCTATATATTTTGGTGAATGTAAAAATTGTTATCTTTTATTATTTAAGGTACTGGTGTATATATTCTCTTTATGTAAAAATTGTAAATTCAACACTTTTTTAGATGTTTAAAGTTCTTTAAAGTGTGATATGTCAAAAATAGAATATTTCATTGATTGTATATTTACAATATTATTTTTGAATATCAGATATAGAGAGATATTTTCAGAAAAAGGCTCCGTCAACAAAGTAGAATGGTGAAATGTCACAATAGCAGATACCTTGAATCAAGTAGATTTGAGGGAAATTTTGGTATCATTGGGCAGAAAAAAGTACGATCGTAAATTTAATGATGATCGAGAAAATGAAACCTTCTGGAAAATTGATAATGATGTTATTATATAGATTTTTATGGGTTTATAAATTTCAAGTAATGCATATTGATATGGATCTAAGTTCTACCTCTTTGTGTATCTAAAATGAGAACAATATGTCTTTTTGTATAGCAATTGAGAGGTCCTTTTTGTGTCAAACCATACTAATGTCTAATGTCTAATGAACATTGATATGAAAATGTGCAATTTGCATTGAAAAACATATATAAATTTTGCTGAAGATGCACGATGGTGAACCTTCTTGATGGCGGCATATTGCCAAAAACGTATAATTTTTTGTTCCAAATTTTTAAAGGGTTTTGTTAGATTCAAATTTGAGCAACTTCTTTTTGCATGCGTGAAAAGTTTTAACATGGATTTCCTTTTCAATTTGCACACACAAATAAATAAATAGGTTTATGCAGTTGAACATCTTTGCTTAGACGTCAAATCAATACATACCCATATGATTGTGTGTGAATGTGTGTGATATGGATGGCTAAATTTCTATTAATTCAGAGTTAAACCGAATAATTTAACCTGTTAAATTGTTAATGATCACTAAAGTAATTTCATTGGTTTAAGCTCTGCAGCCTTGGAAATTCATTTGACTAATCATAAAATACACATGCTACACGTGGGAAACTGCGTTTTGGTCTCAAACCAAAGTCACTTTTCACATTTTCAAAGGTTCTTTTTTTAACATTTTCACATTATTATTATAATGTTAATGTGCATTAACATAATAGCTATCATAATGTTCAATAATTGATATAGTAAATAGTATAATGTATATTATTTACTCAAATTTTAAAAAAACTGAAAGAATTTAGCATAATGATCAAATTCACTTAACATGAAATCAGTTTAAATCTATATTTATATGTATAGTTTATCAAATCTTTTCCTGGCCTCACATGTTGTCAAAATTCCAACTAATTAAGCACTAAACACAATTGAATATTTTAATCAACTATAAGTTGGGTGGGTCACTTTTGGCAGAAATGTTGGTCACAAGTGTTACATTATGCAATCTGATGAATGATAGCTTGTGATTGGATATTGAAACAAATAATAATGGCTATAAAGATTTGATATTATATTGGGAGATATATATAAGATTAAAATCACGACCTCCAATCATTTGTGAAATGAAACAAGATTACAAGCAGAACAACTACTAACCACATGTTGTGGTTAGTAGTTCATAATACATACATGTGTTAATAAATTGTGAAACTTAATTACATTATTTGATTAAGTATCTCATAACAAGAAGCTTCCTGGGTATTGTTTTTGGAGTATAGCAGCATATATGAAAAGGTACATTATAATTTTTTTTTTCCTTTTCTTATTTTCATTATCTTCTACAAACAAGTTATTTTCATGTCAAAGTGTATATCATTGAATGGTAAGAACTATGATCTGAAAACAGCAAACTATAATTATTAAGGCTCTTCATCAAACACGTTAAGGCTTGAGTTTGTTTAAAACTTAAGACTTGAGAGATTTGCATGTTAGTTTTTCGAATTTTTACTTACTTTTACATAACCGAAAATCTCAATATACTTGTATGACATTAATTGAATTGATTGAGCATAGAAAGTAAATGTAAAAAGAAAAAGAAAATATTAATTGAATAGCAATTCTATAGAAAAACATTGAAGCCTGATGTGAAACTTTTCACCAAGAGGGTGTAAAAATATCACCAAAATTTTTGGCTTCTGAAGCAAATTTTATTTAAGATAGGTTTAGTTGACCTAGGCAGAGATCTTGTCAATCCTTTCTTCGCTATGGATTTTCTTATCACCTCACTTCACAAAATTTTTGTAATACTCAAGTTGGTTTGTCATACATTTTTAACAAATATATATATATATATATATATATATATTTATACATAAAATATTATACTCTTATTTTTATTATTTTTTTATACTATGACTTTTCAAAAGTATGCATATGTGGAAAAATATGACCAACTAACCATCTTATTTTTGTTGAATATCTCATTAACCACTCATTTGCAAGGGGGTTCAAAATTCAAACATCTCACAAAGATAATTAATTCTCAATTCCTCACACCCTAAAACAACCAGGTTTATTTTAAAACATTTTTTACTTATAACACCAATAAATCACTTCCTCCCAAATAGAAAAGCTAGGAATAAAATACAATGAAATTAAACAGGATTGGGTTTCAAACAGGGATAAGCATTAGACCTGGCAAATGAGTATTCAGAAAGGTCTACAAGGATGATTTTCTGGGCCGACTCAATCTTTCAACACTTTTCTATTTTTCTTTATATTTTTTCTTTTTTTATTTGTGTGGTGGTTGTTGTGGAAGCTAAATTATTTAACACTTTTACAACTCAAAATTTTGGCAAAACATTTATCACTTATCTTAAATAACTCAACAACCAAAAAGGAATTCTAGAGCAACTCTATTCTGTTATTCAAGACATTCAGAAGTTAGTAATGATAATGATAGATCTCTTTGTTGAGGGACCATAAAAAAAATAAAATAATAATAATAATAATAATAGCACCACTTCTAAAGAAAAAACAAAAAGTTCAAATACAATTAGTTGCATGTTTTTTTCTTACACATTTTAGATAAACCCAGAAAGCTTGAACTCATTCAAGCCACTTGAAGTGAACTGCAAAAGGATGAAAACCTAAGCCCAACACACATGAAAAGCTTTAGTAAATTTTGAAGTCGAAATGAACAGATCAGCTCACGGGTACAAATACAACGAGTCGAGTCAAATAAATTCTTTTGTTCTTCCAAAAAAATGAGCTTGAAATTATGGCAATTACTCAGTTAAAGCCTAAAATGACAAAAGAACAAAAAAGAGGAGCAAATATTCCGGCCACAAAAATACAAAGGCTCCATCGTGTCCCACATCACCTAGTTAACCTAGGATTTGAAATTTCTAATAACACCAAACAAAGGACTCATAATAGCTATTAGCTACTAGCTAGCGCCATTGACACACACATCTCCAGTTTCTCCATGCCATGTCACTCAACAAGTGAACCACACAAAAGGTTAAAAGTTGAAACAACTTTACAAGATATATATTAAAAATAAAAAAACAGTATCTTTTTAACTGCATTACGTTTTCCAGGCATGGTGAAATGGGAGTTGCAGACCAAAAACTTATTTCAGCATATGGTCCTGAATATGATCTGAACTACCTCACTCATTATTTGCTACTACTTACAAATAACAAGGTTTCAATATGATTGGTTTTTGGTATAGTGATCTAAACAATAAAATTCCATATCTTGAATCAACACTTCCAAATAGTGGCAAACGGGCAGCCAGAATGTATTTTAAAACCTAGATTCAAAATTTTGAACATAAAACACATGAAAGAATAACTACTTTCATTCAACGCCAAAATACACATAGAACAATACTAAATCAACAACACCAGCATTATGAAACCTTTCACCTAGGAACTTCATAAGTTTAATTCCAGATACCTCTGTTAATCAAAATACCAAGGCATTACCCAACACACCCACAAATCCCAACAATTTTTTTCCTCCTAATATCTATCTGCAGACAAGCTCCATTAACAAGTAATGAAAAAGAAATCAAGAACCTTTAACACAACCCTTACCGTAACATTTTCGGGCGAGCCTAACACAGTCAAGCCAGTGCAGAACCTGGGCATTGGGGTCTACCTCGACGACCACATCTGAAACAGTGATCTGAACAAAACCCTTGAATCCGGTGATTCTACCCCGTACCCTGGCCACAGCACCCACCTGAACTTGGGCGGCGAATTTCGAGGCCATTCGGGCAATAGATCGAACACCTGCCGGGCTGCGCCTGGAGAAGTAAGAGGACGTGAGCTGGTTGAGCCAGAGGACGCAGGGGATGCAGCCGGTGCCGTCGTCCACAGCGAACCGGAGGAATTTGTCAGGTTTGAGCTCGCGGGTCACGACGTACCCGACTGTTTCTGCCCGCGAGAGGGTTTTGCCGTTGATGGAGAAGGAAGGCGATGGGTCTGTGGGTTTTGGGGTGAGCGCGAGGAAATCGGAGGCCAGGAGCTTGACGTGGGTGTTGTACAGGGCGTCCGCCATTGATATTGTTGATCGATGGGAAGAAAAAAAAAAAAAGGAATCTTGATTTGCTCTTTCTCTCGCGAAGAGGGATTTTGATTTTTTAGGGGAAAATGTACAGTTTATGCACTAGTTATTTGGCGGGAAAATTAGACTTTCAGACAATTTATTGAATTAAATCCCAGTAAAATTTTTCCCAAAATCCCATTTCATTTGTAGCTATTGCCAAGCTCGAGCTCCTAATATTCTTTTTTTGGAGCTATTGCCAAGCTCGAGCTCCTAGTTATTTGGCGGGAAAATTAGATGTACAGACAATGAATTGAATTACTTCTCACTAAAATAATGTTATCCCCAAATACCATTTGTTTGGAGCTATTGCAATAATGAATTGAATTACTTCTCACTAAAATAATGTTATCCCCAAATACCATTTGTTTGGAGCTATTGCAATGGCTGAAATTAAACTCAAATTCCTAATATTCAAATATAGGTTCAAGCCTTTATCGAACTCGGCTAAGCTATTAGCAATGACGGAAATTAGAGTTACAAACAAATCGAATCTGAACTCGAGCTATTATCAAGCCAAACCAAACTATAGCTGAAATATAACAGCGTGGGAGATTCTCTTTTTATATAAGGAATAATTTAGGTGTCTAATTATAGCTAATGGAATATTCCTGATATATTATTCATGATGTGAAGAACTATGTGAACAATTTAAAATTGAAGTTTAAATGCGATTAAAATCGTCAAAAATTTATTTGATCAATATACAGATTTAAAAACCTTCATAAAGCAGCAGCAGGCATTTTACAAGACTGGTAATAACATAGGGAAATCACCAAATCCAGGATCAATTACAGAAATAATGTCCAAAAAGCATATATTGAAAACAATTAATAAGTTCACAATAAAGTACATTGTGGATGAGCTTTGCCTTTTAGTCCCCCCATAATAACACTGCACGAATGGAAAGTATTGATAATGTTACAAATTTTTTAGCATATATGATTTCCCCAGATTCCTGCACAGGAAAAAAAAGAAAAAACATGTTTGTAATTCTTGTGAATATTGATTTTCTCACAATTAATATTTGGAAAACTAAGAATCATATGTCATATGGACTGACGTTCGATATTATTCATTGAAGTCTTACCTTGGTGCAGGATAGATAGTTTTATCTTTAATCATAAGATAAAAGATAAACTAACCAATCATTGTGCGCTTCCTTCCTCGTTGTCGAACTAAAATATGCCAACAAAAAAAAAAAGATAGAATGACAAAAGAATGAATAATTAGCGCATCTAAGCCCCCGAGTGCATTGTTTCTTTTTTTTTTAACAAATACGAAAAAAAAGGGTACCTTGTGCTAGCTTATTCAAAGTTGAGGACCATTGTTTTGATGATTTTCTATAAGCTTTAAGAATTCTCTCCATCTACAGCAGTTAACAAAACATAACAACATAAGACTTATGTCAATGATACTTCTCACGAAAACATAAAACCAAAGAAAATATTTCAATGATCAACGAGGGGGGTTATTGACATTTGGTGACTCACTCACCACATTCCCACATGAAGAGTGCATAGATAGCAATGCTCGTTCGAGAACATATAGATCGACAGCTTTATCTTCCGGAAGGGTCGACGTGAAGCTCAGACCAAAATCAATCAGTACCTTTTGAAAAGACAAATAACATAGCAATTGTTGTAAATTGTGATTCACCAACAAAATAATTATAGATTAGAAAATCGACCAAAGATTAATAGATTTCAAGCAAACGTAAAAACCGATAACTTACCAGCTGATTGGTACCATTGCGAATTAACATATTTGAGGTAGTCAAATCACCATGGATTAGGCCACCATCATGCATTTTTGCAATAGCATCACCAATCTGAGTAGCAATATCATTTAACCTCTCCTCCACAATGCCCTTTGACCCGAAATCGAGCAAAACATCTTTCACGGCGGGACCCTCGACGAACTCGAACGTCAATGCATGCACCAAAGGGTCGATAGCATAGAGCACTGGAGTCGAGACCCCGAGCTTTCTAGCTTTTGTCATGCACCTAGCTTCCTGATCCAGTATTTTTTTTTTGAATAAATAAATAAATGTCAATTGGGATGAAGAAAAAAATTCATGCCGTGTTAAGAAAAATCACTAACCGCATTCAGACGCTTGAGAGTGAGTTTCGAGTCCAGTGATGGGTGCCTGTACTTTTTCGAAAAACGCTCCTTGACGACACACCTCCGACCGACAAAAGTTGACTCGAACACTCTCTGAGGAACAAAAATGAACAATTATAAGATTGTCCATTGCTAATAATGCTTATATAATATTACAGGTCGTGGAAGGGATAATGCAACTTACAGCTTCAGCTCCTTGCTTAATCAAAACCATGGAACCTTCTGCACCATCCAACTTGATATCCATTATAAATGAGTTGAGTACCAAAGTAGAGATATACACTACAACAACAACAACATAGCCTTTTAGGGTTCTTGAAATAAATGGCTTCCGAATAAATAGCTTACAATTGGCAAGGACCACAAAAAGTTTAAGGTTCTTGAAAAACGTAAACATCCACAAGAAACTTCCAGAACATAAAAAAAGGACTAATTTCAATGGGAGTTTGGTTTTCTTGCAAGTCCCAACAATAAATCACATCCGAGACTATGATTGGCCAATGGGGCGGCATGGGTCGAGTCTGAAACACGAACCCACACCCACCTCCTAAAGTTCTAGACCCGTAATCCAAGCGGGTTAAAACCCGCCAAAATGTGAACTTTTAGCATTTCAACTAGTAGTGTTTATGAGAAATACACAGATGCCTACATAAGCAGGTAAAAATACACAAGAATTAACCAAAATGAAATGGCGAAGCCGGTTGATGTGGTAATACCAAATGAGCAATATCAATATGTAACTAATGGGATTGTTCCAAAAAGAAAAAACAAAAGCTTTGGATTTGGGGACTAGTTATCGTGGGACTTTTAAAAAAGGAAAATAAAATCCAGTAATACAAAGAGCACCACTAGAACTATGAAGTGAATCTTTAGAGTTAGGTCGAGCATTTCAAAATGAAAGAGAGCTGGGTTACCACAGACGAGCCTACTATTCAACAGTTATAAACAACGAGAAAAGCAAAAACCAAAAAGGGAAAAAATCAAGAAAGTGAGAGAAAGCGGGCAGCTTACCGTTTTCAGAGGTGCGTGTTTTCTAGAGCGAGCGATGGGATAACAGTTATCTTGATGAATATAAAAAGGCAAAAAAAAAGATGTAAGCTTTGGGGCTTTCAGAAATTAGGGTTTTAACCGTTTATCAAATCAGAAAACCTTTTTTTTTTCAGTTACTTTTCTTTTATTCTTAGCCATCAAATTCGATTAAAATCGAATCAAACAGTACACATGTGCCTGTGAAATGGCAGCCCGGCCCAACCCCGCCGAGGGCCGCGGGCTAGGCGGGACGGTCCGCCTCATAATAGATAATTAAAAAATTACTAAAACATGGGGAGCAAGTCAACAAAACCTGCGGCCTCATAATAGGTAATAAAAAAAAAATACTAAAAAAAATCCCCCGTTTCACAAATCAGAAATCGAAATTCACAGTCACACACACACACTTAATTTCAGCCTTCACATTCAGTAACCAAAAATCAACCCATGAATCATTCAATAATCATAAATCATATTCATTTCAGAATTAGAGAATTTATGTTTAGCCATTTCATTTTCAGAATACAATAAACCAAAATCCACAAATCAGTTCAAATCATAAATCACAGTTCATTTTGAGTATTAGGTTCAGCCAGCACTACCGGAAGAAACTTCCTTTCCGACGTTGCCGTTGCCGCTCGGAGTTGGAGTCACCGCTCTTCCGCTAGCCCGCTCGCCTCTCGCTGCTCGCCGGTCGCCGCTCGCATCCGCCGTTTCCTTGCCGCTCACCGTCCCCGCTCCAAGGTCTCCGCCACACACCGGTCACCGCTCGGTTTGCAGAGGTCCAGAGGATTGCCGGCTGCCGCTTGAGAAAATGAGAGTTGTGGTTAGGGTTAGCAAAGGAAAAAAGGCCCGTCCGTCTCTACTCTCTGTGTTGTAAACTTGTGATGTAAAAAAAACTTAAAAAAATAAAGGAAAATAAAATAAGAAGTGTGCGTGTGTTTTGGCACTTATTGTGTTATGTGTGAGTCTAATGACTAATGTTTACAGCGCTATTGTGCATTTGTGTTAAATACATAAATTCAAAAGTAATTTGTTTTTAATGGTCTGGCCCAGCCTGCCAAACACCGGCGGCCCACGTGGGCCAGCCCGTTTAAACCGTTCTTGGGCGGGCCTTTAAACTATCAACTCAACCAGTCTATCAGGTGTGGAGACGGGCCGACCCGAGGCCTAGGCCCATTTTAACATGTCTATCAAACAGGCCTTGATCCAAACATCGATCCAAGTAAATTAACCCTGTTTGACCCGGTCTATTTTCTTTTATTTTTTAAAAAAATTAACAAAAATTATGTGTGTGTATATATATATATGATATATTTATCATGAGAAACTTTTATGAACATATAATATTGCATATAAACTATTTATTTTGTTATTGTTATAAGTACTTATGCGTTTAAATAATTTATATAGAAATTTAAATTTTTTAATGTTAATAATCTTGTTCAATGATTGATATAATGATCTGACTCAATAATCTAATGAACACAAGGTCAATTCAAGTCAATTACCGTGTCGAGTTTCAAAACTTTGTTTAACATAAAAAAATCAATTTATGTACCCCAAATATATTAGCTTTTTGCTCCAATCACTAAATTATTTAACATGTTACTAGTACAATACTCGTGTGCTGTAATTATGAGGTTCTCGTATTACAGCAAATAAAAGGTGGGATTTAAGATAGCGATTGTCGCCTTCCGTCACCTTTCTTTGGTGGCATTTTTTTTGCATTAACATGTTACTAGTACAATATCCGTGTATTACACGGGTGTTGAATTATAAAGCTTTTGTAAAAAATATTCATTTTTTTATTTTTTTTAAAAACTAAAATAATTTAATTTTATATAAAACATTACCTTGGGTTTTAATTAAATTGTCAAATTATATTTTTTAATCATAATAATTAAACACTCGTACATTAAATGAAAATGTCAACCCGTGTTGAATTTTTTTATTTATATCATATTTTTTTATAGATATTATTTACTATTACATAAGTACAAAAATATATATCTTAAATAAATAGAAATAATATAGTGATATGTATATGCATAAGTGTAGAATATGTTTATTTAATATTAAGCAAAATAGATTAATTTTTTACTTAATTAGATGTCTAATACATCAAGTGTCGTATCAGTCGTGTTTCACAGTTTTTTAACTTTATATGTAATTTTAGAATTTAGGTAAATAATTATTTATTTCTATTACATTGACAACATACCAATTAGATTTGAAATGAATATCATTTTTAAAAGAATACATACCAATTTCTATTATTTTATAACATAATTTATAGTTTTATTTGATATAATTTAATTTAGTTTGATAAATAAATTTAAATTTTATTTATAAGGATATATATTACTGTTTTGTATTATATATATATATAAATAAATAGTAAAATACAAACGGACTTCATAATATCAATTCAAATGCAACACACTAATTAAGAATTTTTTTTTTCTTGACAATATTAACCCTAATTAATGGATGTTATGGGAAACGATGGAGGGTTAAAAATAAAAAAATATGAACAAAATATCTAAAACGACATTTATTTTATCAATGATCAATTACGCCAAAGTGACAAATAATAAAAATATGAGGAAGTATATATTATTATATATTTTAGTATGACAAGTGTTAATTGTGCGACTTATATGTGTTATATTAGAATAATTTTTCTACCTTATAACATATAACTACATTAAACATAAATATATTAATTGATAAATAATTTTATTTTCTAATTAATTTTATTATTATTATAAAGATAAATATAATTTATTTATTTTATATATAAAATATGGATTTCAGATCGAATCTCATCAAAAGATAATTAATTTGATATATTATATATGTAAAACGGATAAGAAATACAAAAGTTATCAACTTTTAAAATATATTTGCAATTCAATGGTTATAATAGGAAATGATATTAAAATACAATTAATAGAAATACAAATATTAATTTATATCCAAATCTAATTCCAAAGCATTATTTTTCGCCAAATAAAATTATGAAGTATGAGAGTTTGCCACGTAGGCAACGCATTCTAAAATTATATATAGATGGGATTTTGAAGCTCTGGGTTCCATAAATCATATACTATTTCAAAATGATATATGGTTTATTAAAACCCACCAATAGAAGAGGTGGAGACAACAAGAGATGTCGACAATTAATTTATAAAGATTTTAAATTAGAAGTTATTAATTTTGAAAAAGTTTCTATCAATATTGACTAAATTGAAATTTTTGTTTACAAAATATAAAAATTGAAAGGGAATAATTCATTTAGAATTTTGAGTTATATTTTAATACCTTTTAAAACTCAAGAGTAATTATTTGTTGATTTTAGCGAAATACTTAGAAATTTTAGATCTAAATATGACATTTGGTTTGGGATTGACATATAATTCGTGTTTCAAATCTCAATAAATCTTAAAATATTTTCTTGGATATCTGTATTAAATAAGTCAAATACCTCAATTTGTAAGATTTTTTAAAACTTCAAATGAATTTTTGAAGACTTTTTAAAGTCGTAAAAAGAAAAAATTTAAACACCAAAATTTATAAAATCTCAAAATAATTTAAAACTTCCAAACCAATATAAATACTTTGGATTCAAATATTAAATTTAATATCTATATATATTGAAAAAGAGAGGTCAATAAATCATTTGTGGAAACTTTTAAAAATTGGTCAACAACCCCATTGACTTTCCATTTGTAGAAACTAATTTAAAAATCCTTTCAGAATATATGTTTTTTTTTCCTGTTTTTTAGGGATGGATATACCTTTAACGTGATAAGATATATACATGTGATTGCATATTTTGTTATTGCATCCCAAAAATCATGGTATTTAAAATCTATCCAAATACAATCCATAATTATCTTATCACTTTTGTTAATAAAAAATTGTATAAAAGGATATTCACTACCACCATTACAATTCATCATTCACGAGTTCAGAGAAAAAAAAAATACAGAGAATAATTTTTCATCGCATATACAATATAATGCTTCCAGGCTGGGGTAAACTTGATATATAATGCTTCCATACTGGGTACGTTAACAAAAGAAACAAACCTTTTTTTGCGTCTGAGAGCAGTCCGCATTATTGAAACCCATCACGAACGGGAGAGCTATAACGCATTTTCACGATGAACAGGTAATATTTACCTTTTTTATTTCAATTTTATATAATTTAGAAAATTATTTTAATTAATATTTATAACAAACCTTTTTTGCGTCTGAGAGCAGTCCGCATTATTGAAACCCATCACGAACGGGAGAGAGCAGTCCGCATTATTGAAACCATCACGAACAGGAGAGTTGTAACACATTTTCATGATGAACAGGTAATATTTACCTTTGTTATTTCAATTTTATATAATTTAGAAAATTATTTTAATTAATATTTATAACAAAGCATTATTGAAACCATCACGAACAGGAGAGTTGTAACGCATTTTCATGATGAACAGGTAATATTTACCTTTGTTCTTTCAATTTTATATAATTTAGAAAATTATTTTAATTAATATTTATAACAAACCTTTTTTGCGTCTGAGAGCAGTCCGCATTATTGAAACTCATAGCAGGCTGGGGTACACTTGATATATAATGCTTCCAGACTGGGGTACGTTAACAAAAGAAACAAACCTTTTTTTCGTCTGAGAGCAGTCCGCATTATTGAAACCCACGGGAGAGCTATAACGCATTTTCATGATGAACAGGTAATATTTACCTTTGTTATTTCAATTTTATATAATTTAGAAAATTATTTTAATTAATATTTATAACAAACCTTTTGAACAGGTAATATTTACCTTTGTTATTTCAATCTTATATAATTTAGAAAATTATTTTAATTAATATTTATAACAAACCTTTTTTGCGTCTGATAGCAGTCCGCATTATTGAAACCCATCACGAACGGGAGAGCAGTCGGCATTATTGAAACCCATCACGATCGGGAGAGCTGTAACGCATTTTCATTATGAACAGGTAATATTTACCTTTGTTATTTCAATTTTATATAATTTAAAAAATTATTTTAATTAATATTTATAACAAACCTTTTTTGTGTCTGAGAGCAGTCCGCATTATTGAAACCCATCACGAACGGGAGAGCTGTAACGCATTTTCATGATGAACAGGTAATATTTACCTTTGTTATTTCAATTTTATATAATTTAGAAAATTATTTTAATTAATATTTATAAATTTGTATCGTAGGTGCTTTCATTAAATGCATAATACATTATCCGAATATGAGAGCAACAAACTTTATATAAACTGAGAGCAGTCTAATTTTTGTAAAATATGTAAACTTTAAACGTATTTTATATATAAAATTTTATATACTTTTAAACATGTTAGTTGGGCAAATTTTAAGGATATATATATATGTGTGTGCTAACTTTAAGTATATATATTTTTCTTATAAAATAGTCTAGACAAAATTGAGGTAATTTCACATTTTTCAATAATAATATAAAATATTTTAATACTTTCACATATGTTATATAATAGTCTGCGTATTCTTAATGTCTTTTGGTTGTAACACTGTTAACACATATAATATTAGATACTTTTAAACATATTTAGATATTTTTTTTACTCATTCTTTAATATCTATGTGCATAAAAAGAGAATAAGATTTATAAAAAATTTTCCGGCAATATACTAAATGTTAGATAAAAATCTCATTTTATTTGTTATATAATATTTCGAGTTGCATTAATTTTGATTTGTATGTGTAAAATTGATAAATTAAGCGTATGAAAAGGAACGTACGAATTACTGTAAAGATTTAAAAAATAAAAAATAAATCTAATTTTTGAATATTTTCTAAACGAATTTATGTCATAATTCGTCATAATTTTCCCACATCATCTCAATATTTATTTTATCTATACTAGGTAAAAGGTAAATCATTATCTCAATATTTATTCTATATATTCTAAGTAAATCTTCTCATCTATCTCAACGGTCCGCAGGTAGTATTTCATACTTTTCTATTCATAATCAAATATACCAAACCTTCACAAATTTTACTTCACAAAGAAAGTGTTCAATAATTTATATTTTTTTTCCTTCTTTGCAATCCATTTATTTTTATTACATATATATAAATTATATTATTTTTAATATTTCACACGTTAAACATTTCAGGAAAATATACCATCCCGTGCATCGCACGGGTACTGTACTAGTTCAATTTAAGTACACCAAGAAATAAATTAAAAAAAAAAGTCCAAATGAATATAAATATACTTTGGATTCGGGATATTAAAATAAAAAATTTCTCTCATACTCAACTATTATGGTTCAGAGAAGAAGAAAGAAATAAAAATAAATAAATAAATATAAAAAAAAAAAATACATCATAGTATCATACAACTGCGAATAAAACGACATCGTCCAGACCGAGGCACCGATTGAAGATCAAGAACTGCGTGGTCTGATTTATTTGTTCAGCATCTCTCCAGAGACTGAAACCCTAGCTTCCCCAAATTGGGAATTCAGTGAAACTTCTCTGGGAAAAACGCTACCATTGAACATAACCGTGGAACAATGAAGAGGGGACTGAAATGGAGCGACGGCGAGGATGGTGATACGTCGTCGTCCGGAGATTCTTCAGCTCACGATTCCGATGCAGAAGATGGAAATGGGAGCTCGAAAACCCAATCCTCAAAGTTCAAAGCTTCTCAAGGTACCTCTACCTCCGATTCAGATGAACTTAGTTTTGAATTTGATTCGTATCGTTTTCTTTAAATTTTGAATTGAAATAATAATATTTCTGATGAAATTATTTTCCTAGAGTGATTGATAGCTGAACAGGGCTCACTTTGCTTGATCAGTTTGTGAGAAATTTCGATGAATTCTGTTGAATTTTACGAAAAACGAAGATGTGTCGATAATATCCGGACAAAAAATAATATCATTTATTGATCAATATGGACATAAAACAAATGAAGAATGAGCAAATTGAAGGGGGGAAAAAGGAGAAAAAGCAAAGCCGTCTTCTTTTTTTATCTCCTTATATTTTTAAATGTGTTGAAAATTATAATCCTCTTGAAATAATAATTTTTTTGTTTGGTTAGATTATATTCATCGAGTGATTGATAGCCAAACAGGGCTATCCTTACTTGATCAATCTATAAATTGTTATGATTTCCTTTGAATTGTACGAAAAATCATATGTTGAAAAAAGTTCATTCTTGAATGAGCAAGTTTAGTAAATTAAGGACAATAATAAGGAAGCATAATTTAACCCTCTTTTCTTTTCCTCTTACTTAAAATGTGTTGAAAACACTAAAATCCTGCATCTTCTTGGCGACAGTAGAATCTGCGAAGAAGAAAAAAGGCATAGACTTTGAAGCCTTGAGCAGGCACGGTTATAAAGGAGGACTATCGGTCTTGAAAGTGCCGGCACCAAAGGAACCCGAGAAGGAGCAAAACTGGTCTTGGTCCACAGGGAAAGACAAACAGCAGCAAAAGGGAGGAGAAAAAGAAGAAGAAGAAGAATCTTACGAGGAACGAATGAAAACGAGAGCCGCCTTAGCCAGTGGAGAGCGCCTTTTGAATGTTCAGACTCGAAGTGAACGAATTAATGCTAACAATTTGTCCTTTCAACAGAAGGAGAAAAGAAAACGGGACCTGGGCCAAGCTAGCAGGGGCAAGAGTTATGTCGAGGAGGAAAAAAGGTTGCTGAGGGAAAGCGGTATATACTCTGGTTTCGATTCTTGATTTTTGTTGTATTTACTCTGGTTTCGAATCTTGATCTATGTGTTGATTCGTATCCGTGCAAGGTTTTGTGCTAATGTAATTGCATTTCTTTGAATGGATGTCAAGTTGTGTTTGATATTGCAAAATTATTACTTTGGCTCAGGATGATTTACATTTTTTGAGGTTGGGGGTATTCTTATTTTACTTGGTATTTTGCTGAAAGGTGTATAATGTGTTATGGGGATGCATAAAAATCGGTTCTTGGTAGGTAATTGTTTGGCAAAACCTGTATATTGAAGGTTGTCGAAATTGCTGTACTCGAAAACATAGTAACGATTCAAATTTCAAAAGGAAAAGAAGCACGAGCATGAATGGGATTTTCGTAGAAGAAGCCAGCACTACATAAATATCACGTACAAGTTCAAAAAAAAATTGTTGGTAGCAAATATGATACAACAAGTGAGTTCTCAACAAGTTCGTCCCAAGCAATTTCTCAGCTAATGGAATCAGATCTTGATTTCTCCCTTTGGAATTGCAGCACGAACGAGCCTCAAAATCTAGTGGTGAGGGTTTTGCAAATTGATCTGATAGTTTGAGGAGTTGTTCTGCAGCAACCTCCCACGAGAGATGCCCCTGCCTCACACCATTTGTTTACATACGAAACAAAATCTTTGTCCGAAACTCCCGTGTTTTGCTGTCACAAACACAAAAAGAGGTGAAAATTGAGTTTAACTAAATGAAAAAAAAAAAGAAGGAAAGAATGAAAGAAAAAGCTAAAGAACTCACCACCCACTCCTTCAGATCAGCATCATAACTCTCTCCACTGTTTGGGTAAATGAGTATTGGTTTATTCGTCACCTGTTGTAAAAATCAAGTCAAGTGAAAAAACTCGAATTGCTTTACCAGAGTTTGTCCAGAATTCACATTTGTATAATACATTAAAGTTGAGTAAGTAATGTTAAGGTGGTGTTTAACTAGCTGCATCTTATAACAATTAAACGAGCAATCAATTTTGGCAGTTCTTCACCTTTTTTCGTGCCTTTTGTCATTATCAACCTATGTTAATGTTATCTCAATCTCATAAACAGAAATCTTACCTTCTTAATCGATAAAATAAGATCCATGATAAATCTTGGTGGCGTACAGTTAATCCCCACAGCAACAATTTTGTTGGATGACTCAGCAATGGCAGTGCAGTCGAGCAAAGAATCACCACTAACAACGTTAACACCATCTTTCGAGTTGAATGACAGCCATGCGGGAATATCAATCTCGTTTTCCTCGAGAAGCTCAGCAAAAGCCTTTGTCGAATATCAATCATCAGTGATAAATAACAACTCCATTTATTTAGCTAGATTTCAATGTTTATGTAATTGCTAATACACCATTATGATGACATCCAAGAAATATTCCACAATTTTTCCCAAAAAAAAAAAAGAAGAAAAAACAAAAAGAAAAAGGAAATACATCTGTACCTGAGCTTCAAGCTTGTTCGGCACAGTTTCAAATGCGATAAGATCAGGACCAGAATCTGCAAGGACTTTGACCCTTCTTCTATGGAAGTTCTTCAAGAACTCAAGATCCATAGCATCTCCATAATCACCACTGCATATAGAATATATATACTATATAAATTGCACAGTCTAAGCAAAATCTAAAACACAGCTTCAAATGAATAAAATAAAATAAAGTTGCATTTCGGGAAGGAAATAGGGATATTGTACAAATTCACCTATATTCTGAACCATCAGCTAGGTAAGCCCCGTAACTCCCCACAGAAGCAGCAACTAATATTGTCCGTTGATTGAGAATTCTATCATTTTGGGGAGATTGATGAGTAAGAGCCTCAAGACATCGGTTTTTGTAAATTTCTCGTGCCTCAAGTGCAATTTCGACACTCTTTCTCAGCAAGTTCTCACTTTCCTCCAGGGAATATCCTTTGTTCTTGAATCCCTGTATAGTCGCCTGTGTAATTCTGTAAATTTCAGTTTAACCCAGAAAAAGGCCCTTATGTGTAAAATGATGGATTATAAAGTACCTGATAGGAAGCTGTGATTATTATGTCTGCACCTGCTTCAAGGTAATCAAGGTGTACCTGCTCAATGCAAGAAAATCCGTAAGAAAAAACGAGCTACCTGAATTCTATATTAAGAGTCATCATATGCTTCTCAAGACCATTTATACAGCAATACAAAATAAAGTAATGAATACACTTTCACCCATCCATTTGATCAATAACTGGTCAAACCAAAAACCTGCATATTATTATTATATCATCTCAAAGCCATGGTGTCTAATTCATTCGAATGTCGTGACTATTAGAAATATATTTCAAATCAAACACATATGAAAAACTGTCATCTCAAATATTTCAAGCTTTGCCTTCGAAGAGTAACTGTACATATGTAAACCTCTCATAAAACACTGAAACAAATACTAAAGTATAACATATACTAAGCTTCACCCAACTGGCTCAGATTAAGCTCACAGGTAAGCAATCAACAAAAAATTTCAGCCCTCGGAGCCAAATGCAAACAGATAAAGATGGAATAGCGTCCACTTGGTAGTTCACATCTCATCAATTGTTCTGTTCCAACATTAAATATTCACCTAAACTCAAAGCCAAAATCTGAACTAGAAAAATTCACATGATAACTTCACAGAAACAGAATTCTCAGAGGCTGACCAACCAAAAAAACATATTTTTCTTCGACCCAAGTTTATCAAGAATTTAGGATTACACGAAAATTACCAGTTTTACTACTTACATTACATCACATAGCAAGTTCGAAAAAAGATTCAAGCTTTGGATAATGCGAAAACCCATAATACTATTAAATGTATTCGTGATCCCAAGTCGATAATTTCAAAGTGAAGGTTGCAAATGTATCAAGCTGTCGAAAGAAAAGGAGGTAAATGGAAATGCACAAAAATAAATGAAGAAAAATATAAAAGAAACAAGAGCAGCCGGAGCAAAAGAAGGAAGGCTTACGGCGCGAATGAGGTGAGGGGAGGAGAGGAGGCATTTAGCGCTCCAAAGAGGGTCGTGAAGATCGGCCCCGTGGCGTTCGAGCTCCGTCGCGAGTCCGCCGTCGATCACGGCGACGCCGCCGCATTGGCGGAGGAAATCTGACATGGTCGTCACGACGCGACCCATTATCCTGGACAACAATGCAAAACCTCTGTTATTTTTTAAGGTTTGGTGAGTTTACGGTGGAGAAGATAATGAAGTGAGATGGTACATGAACCCTTTACCATCCTCTCAAGTTATTTATAGAACAATATTTCTCATTAATTTACCCACTTTTCCTTTTCTTTCTCTACATTTTTTCACAAAAACTGAAGATAATTGGTGAATATTTTTAAATTAGAATATACTAATACTTATGATATGAGATATCGTACCATGTAGAGCAAACCCGTTAAACTGGGTGGTCGAACATAGCCACATAAAGGTCGAACGCCAATGTAGAATGAGGAGCCTTCAAAACGAAGAAGGCATGAGGGTTCAAGGGATCAATGACAGGTTGAGTTAGGAGTCACGGAAGGTCTGTTGGAAATTCGACTTGAAAATATGGTTGGTTGTGTGATCGACCAGAAGGATAATACCTAGCTCAAAATATGTAGCATTCTACCTCAACATGTTTCAAGCTGGTTGCACGGTTAAATGGTTTAATGACAAAGACTAATGGATAAGAAGGAATATTAATAGGGTAAAGTTTACACATGGATAAGATCACGTGGGCTAACATAATTGGGCAAATCGGGCAGCCCACTTGGGCAGTCTTGGCCAACAACGTATCATCTCATTATGTAAAGGAGTGAGACATGTTCATTATCATATTACATTCTCTATATTCTTTACATACATACTGCGCTTCATCTTCTACAAGTGCTAACTTAAACATCGAAAGCTCTTCACAGGAAAACTCATCCAGTGTATGAATTTTTGCAGGTCTAAAGGACGTTCAACCGGCGAGGAGCTCAGATCAGGCCGAGTACCAGCCGGTCAGAGGTCTTTTGTGTACCGAATATATATCACAAATTTTATTACTAATGACCTAATCAGTAAGCGGATAAACATTCACATTTATTAATTTAAAATATGTAGATTCTATAAGTGATGGACTTCAATAGTCAATATATTAATTCAAAACTTGTTAAGTTTAAAGGGCAGGCCGCACGCCTCATATATCGACATAACAAAAAGTTATTACTTAAAAAATTTGGTTTGTATATACATTTTTGCTTTAAAATTAGGCTTGCTATGAGATATAAATAACTTTTTTTTTGTTTGGACAAGTGACAATCTTACCATCTTAAAATTTCATCTCATATTTATCTCCTAAATCACGATTTGCACATCACTTTATACCCCATCTATTCCTCTTTTATCTTCTCAATTTTTAGAAGAAATTCCATAAACCTCGAGTTTTCTTTTTTTTCTTAAATAGAATTACTCTTATTTTCCATCAATTAAAGTCATAATTTTTTTTTTATTTTATAAATACTTTTTATCATATATTTTTTAACTCAAAACTTGTTTAGTACATAAGTGTTGTACTAGTATCGTATTTATTCAACAAAATTACATTCATACCATATAATTTTTTTTATAGTGTTTTATACATGATATCTCAATTTCAAATGTATTTCTATCTAATTGCTTAATCACATAGAGTTTAAATGCTGAAAGCATTAAGCATAAATTAATTATATTCGAAATTTCAAAAGATGGAGGTTTGCTTTTCATTGTTCAAGTTCATTGAACATTTGAACTTGCAATTTGATGGATGTCTAATAGGAGTATCAATTTTGTCCAAATGCACAAAATAAGTGCAGCCGATGATGAGAAGTGCGTCCCATTTTTATCACATCCATTAGTCCACATATCCATAATTAAACTTCTTTTTATTGTTTTCTTTTCACTGAATCAAATGCACATATCTAAAAGTACTTGCAGTTTTCATCTCACGGTCACGGTTGGTATATTTTTTATTTGAAGTATTTGAAGTAATTTATAACTTAAAATTTGTCCATTCTAAATTGTTTGATTGACCCAATAAATAATCGGAATCCACGGATTTGTTGACTTCATTCGGTACATAAACTGATTTTTTCGTTTTTTCTTTTCAATTTTATGACATCAAATGTTGTGCTCATGTGATAGATTAGAATTACTTTGATCCCTCTTGAAACTCAACTCCAACAGAACTCGTTCAAAAACTCAGAACAATGATAGTTTGACAGAGAAACTTTGATGATAAGTGATAGTGTACGGTTACATATGGTGGTATAATTGTTTATTTTGAAAAATGATGTGAATCACATAACCCTACTCTACAATCTA